GAAGTGTAGAATGTTTTCAGAATGTAATCTACACATCCCGAATCTACAGATCCCAAATTATTTATTTTTATATCTATGTCAAGAAACACATTCAAATATATGGTTTTAAAATGTATTTATTTGTGATTTTAGTTTGGGATCTTTGAGTGGAGAGCTACTCTGAAAAATAACTGTAAAATGGCATCATAGGCTTTCCATCTACATTGTGTCTCAGTGACTCCGAATCAAATGAGCTCTGCTTGCATGTCAAAAGACTTTTAACTGTCAGATCCTAGCCTGAGTTTACAGTTCTGGAAGCCAAACTGTGTTTTTTGGCTTGTGCAGCATTTGTAGGCCAGATATAATAATTCTGTAGCCCAGGTTCTACCCTCAGACCTGGACAACCTCATTCTTTTTAATGGGGATACCAATTTGTAACAAAGGGCAGAATTTGGCCCTAGTAACTAGAAGTTTCTGAACTCTGACGTGTGAGAAGAAATAGAACTGGGCTCACCCTCTTCAAAGCTGTAGAAGCTTACACAGCTGACTAGAGGGAAAAAATAATATAAATATATTTTTGTCACTAACGTGACAAATGGCTCTGAATGCACACAGAAAACTTATCTGTTGAGGGTGCTATTTTTGCACAGTCACTTTTAAGAGAAGAACCACACTTTAAGCAGCCTTTTGTGTATTGTATGTATTTTCAAATATTTATAAGTTGGTGGCAATAAGTTCAAAGTGTTTGTCTGGTTTCTGTTCTGGGCAGATGATGGCCCACTGAAGTATTCCCACCCTAAAAAGCAGGCATCAGTATCCATGGATATTACAAGAGAATTACTTTACTTAAGAAAGGCAGATTTTGATATCTAGTTGACAGAGCCTCTTTAATCTTCTACATCAAGCCAGAACACACGACGCTAAGAATGAGCAATTACTCATTGCAGTTTTTCTTTTAATATAAAGCAGGAATGGGGGATGCATTATGAAACTAGGATGCATGTACAAGCATGCAAAAAACTCCATTTGCTCGTGCTTTAGATATAATAAATAAAATTATGCTCTCACATCCTGTGCAATCGCACATTGGTATATGCCATCATGTGCCAGCAATGCCCCTCTGCCATGTACATTGGCCAAACCGGACAGTCTCTACGCAAAAGAATTAATGGACACAAATCTGACATCAGGAATCAAAATACTCAAAAACCAGTGGGAGAACACTTTAACCTGTCTGGTCATTCAGTGACAGACCTGCGGGTGGCTATATTACAACAGAAAAACTTCAAAAACAGACTCCAACGAGAGACTGCTGAGCTAGAATTGATATGCAAACTAGACACAATCAACTCCGGTTTGAATAAGGACTGGGAATGGTTGAGCCATTACAAACATTGAATCTATCTCCCCTTGTAAGTATTCTCACACTTCTTATCTGTCTGTACTGGGCTAGCTTGATTATCCCTTCAAAAGTTTTTTTTTTTTTTTTCTCTTAATTAATTGGCCTCTCAGAGGTGGTAAGACAACTCCCACCTGTTTATGCTCTCTGTATGTGTGTATATATATCTCCTCAAAAAGAAGAACAGGAGTACTTGTGGCACCTTAGAGACTAACAAATTTATTAGAGCATAAGC